GCTGCTAGGCCTTTGCGGCCGAGCGCCGAGCACGACACCGTTCGGCTCCTTCCGCCACGCCCACTCGGGTGTTTCCGACAAGAGCTCGGGTATTTCCGCCACGCTCTCGGGTGTTTCCGGCGGACCTCGGGTATTTCTGCCCGCTGCGCAAGTTGTTCCCGCCTGTTTCGCGGCGCATGCGCGAAGATTTCTCGCCTGCCGCGCTGAGGCGAGGTGTGAGGCCATGACGCTGGTCGGGCTCGGCTGCGGCCTGTGCCCCGGGGGGCGGCCGCCCCGGGGAGCGGCCACCGTTCTCCCACACGCTTTTGAGGGGCTCGGAGCTGGGGCTGGGATCCCCTTGGAGCTGGGGTGGGGCACAGCTAGGCCTCTTGTGTGCTTGGTGCCCTAGGAGCCACTGGTGACTGCCCAGGTAAGCAGCACTGCCCCTTCCTCCAGGAAAGTGAGGGACCCTCCCAGGCCTTGAGCCTGAGGGGAGCTGGGCTTCCAGGCGGGTGACATCACTGGGTGACTGAAAATACCTGCAGATTAAAAAATTTCTTTTAAGAATATCCAGTTATTCAGTAACAAATTATTCTCTTTATTTATAAAGCAGTTATCAAAGGAGATGTAATGTTGTTCTGAAATGTTGTAATTTCTTCCTTGTTGCCGTTGGTGGGGTGTGTAAAAGTGTGATGGAGGTGCTGTTCTACCAGGTGTGTGTCGTTAAATGCTCTGAGAGCCCACAGGTTTCTAACACTTTGCAGCTTACTGAGTCACAGGTGAATTGCAGGTGTGACCAGGGTAAGTGAATTATTCCAGGGTAAGTGAATTATTGCTGACTTACTCCTTTGTGCCTTATTGATTGCAGGAGTGGCTGTGTGCTAGCATTTTTTAGGAAAACCAGGATCACTGAAAGTGCAACTGATAGGCTTGTGATTATTTCAGCTAGTGGATTTTTCTGTTGGTAGTCTTGCATTTATATGGGGGGAAAGAAGAATCAATTTGGGTATCCAGCTTCTAGCTTCCGTAATGAGTATTTTTGCCTTAAGTCTGCTTCTCCTACTCATTTTGAAGCAGCTCTGAGCATTAATAAGGAATGCCTCACCCATGTAGGGGTAAAGTTTGGAGAGAGAAACTGCCTTGCAGTAAGACTTTCAAATATGTCATCAAGTGATTCCCTCTAAGTCATTCCTAATGAGACGACATGTGTAATCTAATCTGAGTTACTCAGAAGATTGAGAACATACAGAGATGCGTACAAGGCTGCTACAGCTGAGAAGGCTTCTTCCATACAGACAGCAGATCCATCTTTCTGGAGCTTCACTCCACTCATCTCAACCATTGCAATGGTTAATTTTTGTTCCTTCTCTTGTGAGAAGGAGAGCAAACTGGCATCCACGCTGAAACCTCCCTTCATGTGTTCTATGTCATGTTCCAAGATGCTCTCAACCTTCGCAGCAACAACAAAAAAAGCAAAACCAATATTTTAATGCTTCCATCTGTGGAAGTTGTTAAGTAAGTGATCTCTTTGACTTGTGAGGTGCTTTACCATCTTACAGGCGCAGTAAGTAATCCACATTTATATATGAGACTTTTCACCCTGAAAGATTATCATGCTTATGTATTCAGTTCCAAGTTTCTTGTGAATTCATAATTAAAGTTATGTGGTTTTGTGTGTGTGTTTTTTTTTAAACCTGGAGCCAAAGACAACAGAAAATTCTGACTACCGTTCCAAGAAAAATGGTAGTAATCTGTGTCTGATTTAGTGTTTATTATCTGCAAAACAACTGTTAGAAATCTTAGGTCCTGACGGTTGGGGTGATTTCTCTCAAAGTGAGTATTTTGATCCCTGCCAAACTTGAAACAATTATTCCTTCCCTTCTTCCCAGGGTAAGTTGTGCTACTGCTACCTGTATCAACATCTAAATGTTGCTTTACTTGAAATAACACCCCACCCCGCCAAATGTGATGCATGTTCTCTCACCAGCTTAAGCTGTTGGGACACAATCTTGTCTTCCAAGGACTCCAGCAATAGCAGCAGCTGATCCTCCATTAGCTCTGCAGAATTAAAACAAGTTTGTACCAAAAAAAACCCACCAGTGTTTTGGAGGCGGCTGGTGAGATGTGAAGGGTGACCATCAGCTGTCTTGCAGGGAATGCCTGTTTGGTCAAAAGTTCTTCAGACCTTTTAAACTAAATTTTTAGTGCAGCCTCCGTATGAGATGAATACTGCTGTTACTCTGTACAGGTGATGGTAACATCGAGCATAAAGACCAAGGGGGTTGAGGGGAGAGAAATAAAAGCCATATTTTGTGGCAGCCTTGGGAAAAGAACCCTGCAATTTGTACTGCTCTTACTGTAAGGTGATCGTGCCATCTCTACCCACGTTTTAATTCTGATTTCAAGCCCTCTTTTCAAGGATCCCCTAGTGCATGCTGTTCCTGGACTGAGTGGTAATTCAGTGTAACACTTCTGGCAGTTGCCGCTCTGTGACTCTCCAACTGTTGCTGCATAGCAGCTGCTATGGACAGGTCTGTATTCTCGGCATAAACCACCTTCATTCCCACAATCTAAGAAATTATTTTACGTAAATCCTCTGCAAGTCTCTTGTGTTCCGTGAGTTTTCTATATTCTGCTAGTCCTGTCAGTAGGAATGCTCTTAATGTGTTCTGGTGCTACTGGATTTCTCTGTTAAAATGGCAGGAAAGCCTTACCATCTAAAGCATCAAGAGTGTAGGTGATTGCTCCTGCCAGCTTAAGGAGAAGATGTCTTGAAGAATACTGTAAGCTGCTCAAGAGGTCTTTTAAGTCCGGGCTTTCTGTTTTCAGCTCATCACTACCAGTTTCATCAAGAACTGCTTCCATCTAGGGGAATAAGGAAAAAAGTCAGGATTTGAGAAAGAGGCTGCTGATAGTCCCTTGCCGTCTAACTACAGAAGCATGTCAGCAGTCGTGTAATACGTGTCTCCCCTCCTTAAGCTATTTATGTGGCTATAATTGAGGCTTTAGCATTCACGCTGGCTCCAGGTAAAGACAGGATATGAAACTGAAGTGGTTTGATACCTTCAGGTAAATCTGCTAGGCTACATTCAGGATGTATTTCAGCAGTTGACTCTGTCCTGAGAAGAAACACCACCTTTCTCTGAAGACCAGACAGGTGTGCTGAGTGAAGGATTTTTGGATTGATAGTTGTGGCACCGGAGAGACTTCTGGGGCAAGAGGTATGATCATGGATGTGTCATGTGTCTGTATTTATAAATCCTGGCAGTAAGAAGAACTTTGCTTACTTTCTGGGTCAATTCTTGAAAGAGGTTCCTGTCTCTCATCACAGCTTTGATGGCTTTTGAAAATATGACGAACAGATCAGGAGACAACTTGGAGAGAATTTGGCAATTCTTTTTAACTTCTACCTCCAGTGCTCCTAATTTTCCTTGTGAGATACCTGAAAACCAGAAAGAGTCCAAATATGTCACTTCTAAACTAGACAATCCCACGCTAAGTTCCCTGGCACCCCTAAACTTAGAATTTGAAACATTTCTATGAATATTTTCAAAAGCAATATGCAATTTTCAGTTGGACAGTTGTCATATGATGTAATAGGCAGCACTATACAGTAAATGCATCACTTTTGGTGGTTTATAAGATTCCATCTTACCCAAGTAGTGCAAGTGGAAGTAGTAAAATACATTACTTACCATCAGATACGAATGTTGATGTACTTTCTTTGGAGAAATATTCAAGATCTGCAAAAGGATAACAAAGGGCACTGCTGATTTGGAAAAATAATTAGAGCTGGATAGATATTCTTTCACCAGTGTTGTTTTTAAGTCTGAAGATACTAGTATCCCAGTTCTGAAATCTCATGTGCTAGCCATAGGTCAGACTGGTGTTTGTACTCTTCTGCCTGTTCATTTAAAACTCTTTTTTCTGAGACCTCATTCTGTACCGTCACATGCCTTATGTCAGGGTCTGTATCGGCCAGTAAGTGTGTTAAAATACGAGTACATTAAAATGACAGCTTATGCTTAACAAGATCCATGCAGGCAGGGGAAGCACAGAGCACAGGGGAGGCAGGCCAAATGCGGTCTCTTAAATCCTGCAGCAGGTTTTGTGGATCTCAGTTCTCTCCTTCTCTACCTATCCAGGACAAGCGTCTCTTATGCCAGTCTTCCTGCTGAAGGGTCAGCCATCCTGTTTTCTCCCCGGCTCTTTTCTTCTGCGTAGAAGAAGAGAAAACAAACCTGCCCTCTGTGCTGTTTTTCAACAGGAGCTCTGCAGTTCCTGAAATTTAGAGCTGAGACTTCCAGTATCTCTCTTTAATTTCCTTACCTTCCCTCTGAAACCGCAGTAGTAGCTCTTTTAATGTACATACTATGTACAGCCTTTTCCCAGGTGACTTCTGTCACTCATATTGCATGTGTTCATGTCCTTGCAGATGAGCTAAACGTGGCCGTGAGGCTGAATCATACTTCAGAAAAAGGTTTTTCCTCTTCTGCATTGTTTCCTGAATGGAGGAATTGGTAGTTTCTGAAAGTTACTTACCCCATGATCCGTCTATAATGGCCAGCTGGATTGCCCGGAAGGCCAGGGTGCAGCCCTTTGGTATGGTTATGCTTTGTTTGTTCTCTCTGGTACCCTGGTCAATGAAAAAAATCTGTTACTAGGCCTGGATGGCAAGTGGATATCTGGGAAGGACTGACTCCCGAGCCTGAAGAGAAATCAAACCTGGGCACAAAACTTGGCGTAAAGCTGGGTCATGAAACTCCCCTCTGCCTTGGTGGATTCCTCGTAGCTGGCCTCCTCCGAGGTTTCTATTGATTCATGAACCACATATAAATTTTGTCGTGTTTTCTTTAGTTGTTGAATGAAGGAGTGATTCTCATTTATTTTTCTAAAAGAGAAAAAGGATGCAATACCCTGGCCGTTTTTCTGTGAGTTATGACAAAAGTACTGTAGTCTGCTCGGAGCCAGAGGCCTTACGCTTGTGTCCTTTCTCACATTACATGAGTACATGTAAACGTCAGAATGTTGGGGGCTCCTGGGGGAAAAGCGAGTCCTGCTGTGCTCAACACATTTCCCCTTCTATGTCTGAGGGGACTGGAGCAGCGAGGCCATGGCCTGGCAGGTCATACAGGTGATCTGTCCTAATCTATATGCTCCTCTGTAGGTACAAACTATGAGAAAAAGATGGCTTGGCTCCATGTTGAGGTGTTCCCGCTTTCTAAATTACAAAGCAATCTATAAATATTACAAAGCTGTGTAAGGAATCTTTATCGCCTCTCTTTCCTGTCCTCCAGAAGTATGCATATTTTGGGAGAATGCATGCTCTCAGGTCTTAATCTTGATTTTTGGCTGTTGAAAAACCATTGTGAGACTTGGCATACGGTAGCGGAGGATGACCGGAGGGCACGTTCTCCCTTTGTGTCTGCCTTACCTTTCTGTTTTCAGTGCCTCAAGTTTTGGTACTGGTACGTGGTTCTTCTCCAGCTTGATGGACCACCCTTTGGACAAGGAGGCAGCTCCTTTCAGCTCTACGCTTGTAGAGTCAACACAAAGGCTTAGGTTCCCATCAACTCTGTCACTGACGCTTTTTTTGACTGTAAATCGCCTTGAATCTTGATTACCTCCGTTGCAAAAGAGAGACTCTGAAATAATGTGATGCATTAGCTTAAGTATGATGACGCAGACTCAATATTGTAACTATTGCACACATAAGAAAGATGGAACGTGGTAGAGTTCAGCAACAAATGATCCAGATGTTTTGTTTATGGAAATTGTGACCGTGGGCTTGATAAATACGGGCTTTACCTGTGCTTCTATCGCCTTCTCCAGGCAGCAGCACGTCATCAAGTCTGTACCATGTCTGTCTGTAGTAGGGAGATGGGTGGAATATGGCTTTTCTTTTTCTTCTAACTAGGCAGAGAGGTCTGAAATGTTCGTGGTCTAAGATGCTGTGAACTGGGACCAGGTCTCCTCTTGGATCGATTTGATTTACTATGGATTGGGTGACTTTTTTAAACATTCTGAACCAAAGCGAAGTGTACTTGTCCCTTAGGAAAGAGCAAAATTACTTGAAATACAAAATACCTGTTACTCTTAATTGCTAAGAACTTTTTCAAAAATGATAACAACCCCCCAAAAAGCCCACATTAGTACAAGGACACAACTTTCACAGGACTGTTTATAGGGAAGCATTTGGAGAGGTAGGAGTATGAGCTGTGGCTTGCTTGTTTAGACTCGTCCCTCTTTGCTGGAGAACTCCCAGTCAACGTGCAGACCGAGAACGCAGCTAGCAGCTTCTGAGGGGACCGATCTTCAGCACTGCAGTCTGTTAGCATTCTTTCAATTACCATGTTTTGTTGCATATACCCGTCCATACCATAGCTTTCATTACTGAACTAGACATTGTTCCCTAACCTAGGACCTATCATGGTCCTGAATGCTTTGATCTTTAATTAATATGTTGCCCTGGTGTAAGTTTAATCTTTAATACGTTGTGCTGATGTAAGTTTCAAAAGAAAAAAGCTTGAGCAATTTCTTGCTGTTTTTTACTCCTTCAGCGTTTTTCCCTTGCATCTTCCTGCCTGGCAGACAAGGGTGGTTTAGCAGTTTCAAAATAGAGCATTAGAAAAAAGATTTCCTTGAAGTCTTAGTGCAAGGAAGTGAAAGTGCTGAGAGGTGAACAGTGGGGTGGGGGGTAGGAGAGCTTGTTCTATGGCAAATCTCCCCCAAAATGTACAAAAAGTAATCTCAGCACAGCTACTTGGGGATGCCCTGGTGCTCTGCCTGTATCCCCCACAGGGGAGAGCTGGATGTTTGGGAGGCAGAAACAAAATCACTGTTGGTTTCCGGTTGCAGCTTGTTTTTACTCCAAAGTTTCAGTTTTGCTTCTTGCTTCAGTTGGCTTACGTAAGACGCGATGAAGAAAACTTCCTTTTTACACATGGAAAAACTTCCTGTACTTATTGAGAAAGAGAAGTGTGCGGGTCTCCTTCCTCTTCTGCACCCTACTTTATCCAGTTTTCTTAGAGAAGCTGATCCCCGTTTACAGTTCAGCTGGGCGGATGGGGGGCCATCCTCCCTCTCCCTAATGTCTCACAGGAAAAAGAGACTGGCTTAGTCCCATCCTTCCAGAAAGAAGGAAGACTGTCACATCGCAAAGGATGGTGTGTTGTATGCGATGGAGCTGGGGAGGGGAAATAGGCTTGTGTGCTTTATGTGGGATCATTTCAGTAGTACCTACAGGACCCATTCCCCTGGGAGACTTCCAAAAGAGACAAAACCAGCAAGAACACTTAACAGACAGTTTGCTCTACCCCTCTTCCATACCGAAAGCTCTTAAAAAGGTACTTGCCCGTTTGTGGAGTGAATGGCTTCTCCTCTGCTGTCAGCGGGCGATGTGCAGAGCAGCCCACTGTGATTCTGAAGTGTTGTGGCCTCTTTAATGCAGCAGGGCTGGGGAAATGTGCTCTCCCCGCCTTTCCGTTTGGAGATCCGGAAGCATCTGCTAAATCGTGGCGCAAAAAGCCTGCCGCTTGCACAGTTCTTCCTCCAAAAAGTTTCAGTTATTGACCCGAGTCAGCCTGTCATGATCTGTTACAGTGGCTGTGGATAAGTTTTTAACTCGTTCTACAGATGTATCATTCCTGTAAGATTTGTTTGATTTTTAGAGTGGTTCTGGTTTTCACCTATACTTTGATCTGTTAGGGTGAGGGACAGTGTGTTCCGGGTTAGGAGGATTTCACTAAACCTGTGGGAGAGCTAACTAATGAGGTGTGGTGTAGACCAGGGGACAATATTATGTTTCTGAAGACACTAACTTATATTGATCACTGATGCATGCCTTTCCGTGCTCTATGGCTCATTGGTAGAAGAGGGTTTGTGTGACTCACCGGTGCGGTCCCCTGCCGAGGGATCCATGCAGTGGGCTGCAAGCTCTTTGCTTTACTGCAGTCAATCACTTGGTGAGCTTGGAATTGTCATATAGTGTTCATTTGCCATGCTTGTTCAAAAGCAAAACCTGTCCGTGTAAAAATTCAAGGACTCCAACCCAAGTTTTTACCTGAATACTTACTTTATTAGTTTCTCTTAGAATACTGTACAAAGGAGTAATAAAAATATTCACACTTTATTTTAGAAAGTTCTCTACACGAGACTTCTGTACATACAGCAAAATGAAGGGCTACTGGAAAAAATAACCTAGAACTTTGTACAATGTCAGAATGTTCCATTTAAAAAAACCTAACTAATTTAGCTCACGTAAACCGATCCAAGGAGGATTCGTATACACAAACACTTGCATGCTTAAAAGATATTATAAGCAGTGATAAAGCAATGTAAGTCACAATAAGAAATATTAATGTGTTAACAACGGTAACCAGCTGCTGTCTCCTTTTCAAGAGCCAGTACCATGCTTCTATTAAAACAAACAAAGAATTAATGATTAAAAAAAAGTACTCGGGAGTTAAGGAGCCCTGGATCTCAGGCTTTTTTTAAAGGCTTTTTCCTGCAAAGGGTCGGACTGTGTAACGCCCTGTTAGCTGTGCTAAATGAATCACAAGACAGGATCCCTAATTCAGAAGCATCAGGTGGTTAGTACTCGATTGTTTTCTGACCTTCCTGGTGCGGTGACTGCCATGCGGTGCGAATACATGCCTGGTCTTGACGGCGGATTGGAAGGGGCTTTGCTCAGGACTAGATGGGGCAGAGGGGGGATGGCTTCTGCCAGTGCCTATGAATGGTTCCAGTGGTGGTTTTCAAAAGCTTTTTTCCTTTAGCATTCATTGCAGAACAAAAGAGAAAAGCATTTGAAGTACCTACTTGTCCAGTAATTGTTTATCAGTCACAGGACCGAGACCACCTTTAATTTTGCAATTGATATTTGCCCTGGCCACTGTAGAGGAAGCCAGTACAAGTTAGAGAGGAAAATCTGTCAAGTGCAGTGTGACCAAAATCCCATTTAAAATCAATAATGATCCATTATCTCCCTCACACAGGTACTTGGAGAGAAAATTCTTCAGTCTAAAAGAATGACTGGACAGTCTTTGCACTCACATTCTCATTCTCCAAGCAGAAGGTAAGCTTCACCCTTAGCTGCAAGTACGTCTGAAAATCCCTCATCCTGTCCACGCTGTCCTGATGGCTCTTTTCTCAGAAGGGAATTATCCCATGAGAGCGTTAGACTACGCTCTTTAACTTGTTTGTGCGCAGGGCTAGCCTTTGAGTGCTGAACTCACTTCTGTATGAATTTAACAAACACAAATAAACCAGAAGTGGTTTCAGTACAGAGCTCCAGGAGACCTAGAACTGTGTCCGTTACTTCCACACCGCTACGGTGGGGATGGTCAGCTAGAAACTTAGTCGGGTACCGCTCGCTCCTGTGACACCGACAGGAAGGAGCCACACAACTCGCGTGCGACCAGCAGTACCCAAAACACCCTCTTTGACTTAAAGCTATCTCAGGTACACCTAACAAGTAGCAATTGCGACTGTGGTTTAATTACAGTTAACTTATGGTTTCTTTTCTATTTTTGATTAGTTCTGATACCTACCCTTAAGACGGGATCTTAAGGAAGATACTATCTTATGTAGATACTTAACATACCACATTATTAATGTGAAATCTTTCTTCAACTCTCTCACTTCTTTCCATATTTCTCCAGTTTTCATTTATGTTTCCCTTGATTAGATTAGCTGTATGAATCCAAGTTAACTTCAGATACTCTGTGGAAAAAATGCCGTCCCTGTGTTGTAAAGAATGTCACTTGCCATGTAACACATCTGTGTAATGGCTATTTTGATCATTTCAGTGTGAAAAGGTAAATCAGAAAAGCTTACTATTATAACTAAGGCTTCGCCTAACATGAAGTTTTAGACTTTAGGCTTTAAAACTGCCTTCTTGAGAAGTTTGTAGTCCTGTTCTGTTTTACAGTTTATCTTTAATTTAGCAAAACAGAATCAGATGTCCATAGTGTCAGTTAACAGCACAAATAACATGTTCAAATCCTCAGCTCTTGTAATGCCAAGGCCTTCAAGGAAACTGTGTGAAGTGCTGTACTTCATTGAGAAGACCTGACCCCTACCTTTGATTTATACTTATGCTAAAAATATCAAGACTGCTTTGACTTTGTGTAATGTGCATACACTTGGAAATAATCAGCATGTCTGTCTATATCGGAATAATGTTTTTAAGCATATAGTGACTGTTTCTGTTGCAAAAAAGTTGATGTTCTTCCCCTCCTTTTCTACCAAAATAAATAAATAGTTTCCTTTCCTCTGGAGATTTACCACTGGCATGTAAGTTGTGTCTGTGGGCAGACATTCAGATCTGTTAAGCAATATACAGTCTGCATTACGGACACAGCCTTAGCCATCCAGCTAAGGACAGGCGCTACACCTCAGAGTCCTGGCCTTTCCGTAAGTGTTGTGGGCATTGATACTGTTGAGTTCTTAGTCTTATTGCTTTCTTCAGTACTTGGCTGATTGATGAAATATCTTTATTTTGAAAACAAAATTTTTTTAAAGTCATTGTCTAGTAGCTTAAAGAGATAATAGCTTTAGGGTATATAGTACCTTAACTAAAGCAGCCATCCTTATGTGGTGGTTAAAAGGTTTAACTCCCCCATCAAGTAAATTGCACATCTGTCAAACTCCCTCGCTGGAGAACAGCACTCACATATTAAGCCAAACTCTTTTCTCTTTCTACTTTCTTGAAAACTTCCTTTTCACTTAATATGTTTGAAAAACAGAAATATTTTAGGTAATGATTCTCTGTGCTTTTCAGCAGCCCTCTGAGGTACATGAAATGTTTTTCCCTTCTCTGCAGCAGTCCGATAGCAAGTCTAAGATAGAGAAATAAAGCAGCTTGCCTAAAATCATGCACGGAGTAGTACTAGATCCTATATGCAAACCTAAGTTCCCCTATCCATGTCCTATGCTCAGACCATCAAACAGAACCCAACAATATCCACTATGACCTCTAAAGCTAGAATTGGCTAATGCAGGAACAAAAATAGCATATTT